TTGGGATTCTGTGATGGAAGCAGTTCATAAACATGTCTCTTGGCACATAGAGAAGTCCCACCAAGCTACTGGGGAAAACAGTTTACTAGATGAAACTACAGAGCAGGTACTAACAATCTGCTCTTTATCTGACTTATGCATGAATTTGTCAGTATTTCTTCAAGACAGAAATGAAGAAAACCTTACAAACTTTATTCCTATATAGCTACAGCCGCACATGTGCAAAACCCCACAAAAGTAAACCAGCAGAGCAACCTTTGAGCCCTCCCTTTCACCTCCTGCACAATGTATTTGATACTAACCATTGAGAAGGTAACAGGAGAAAGACAGCTAAGAAGAGAAAGCAAAAATCAAGAGAAAGGCTTGATTTGTAACTCTTCCAACAGCTTTTGATCAAGTGATGTTAGAAAGCATCATCATACTTGCATCCTAATACAATTAATAAAACAATAAACAGTGGGGGTTATTTTTTTAGTTACCTGATTCAACTCAAAGTATTAACAATGTTTTCCAACACTTATACCTTTAAAAGTCATATTACCTTCAAACATTTCCTGGTGAACTCATACATTGATTAATTACTTTTTTCCTTTAGTCAGCTAAGGTCTTAATCCTGCAAAGACTTTTCACAATGGGTAAACGTAAACTCACGTCCAAGTCTTTCCAAGATCAGGACCTAAAGTAATAAAATGCTTAAGATGAGTGGCTCTCAGTTCTTCTTTCTTCTATTACAGAAGCAGTAAGAGAATTTTGTGGAGTAAGGACTCTATCTTAACTACCAGACCTGGCAAACTGCTTCACTATTATAACTTCAAGTTTATGATCAGCAAAAATGTTAATTGTAAAGGCAAAAAAAAATAGATCAGGAGTATAAACACTGTTAACTCCACATTTAGAAAAACTTGTTTTTATACGGACTCCACAGACACAGCCTTGCCTTTGATGCTGGAAGTTACACCTTCCTGGAGGTCTGCTGACCCAAACCTGCCGAACGGTGTAAGCGGGTCAGCACATGGCAATGCAAGCAGCACCAGTCCCTGGGTGTTCAGCATTCAGCAGATGTTTGGAACAGGTGATGCACTGCCACAGGGGAAGGGGAGGTGTAAATACAAAAACCACACCTAATTAAGAAGTGTAAAATGGAATAGGAAAAGCCAAGGAGCATGCAGATCACTTTGTACATCCACGACACTCCAAACTGATGGAACTGAGACAGAAATACCATTTACACAGCAAATTAACGTGATCCATCATGCCCAGAACAGGAGTGTTTGTTTGCATATTGGACAAGCAAAACCAGACCAAGAGAATGAAATACAGCCAGATGTCACCTTCATAGAATGCAAAATGCATGGTTGCAACTTAGAAGTGATCCTGGATGATGGGACTCTAAAACCTGCTTCAGTGACTTCTCTGCCAAAGCAAATGGACTACTAAATGAAGAAGAATATGAAGGCTAGTATCTTTGAGAAGCAAAGTTCAGCCTCTTCTGTGATAATACACTGCTATACCCTAACCAAACCCGATTTCAGTCTCTTTTAAAGAAGCTGCAAATTGATTTTTGCAGAAAACTGCATTATACAGTACAAACTGAAGAACAGGTTGAACGTTCCTTTCGTTGTAAACGTTACAACATGTGTGGGCATTCACAAGTGAATGAGGTGCTCTTACCTTTTCTAAATCTTCAATTTCAGAGTTGAAATTTTTGCTTTCTTCCATCATTTCCTCTTCTTCAAGAGTTCTCTCATCATCATAATCATGTACTAGCATTTCAGCAGACGGGTCAAAGTCATGGTCCTCAGATGATAAAGAGCCAACTATCAAAAACAAAACTTAATTTGAGTACATTTTTTCC